TTTTAGCATGGTATATCACGTGTGTTGTCGCCTCTCGGTGTTTCCGTTTAGAGACGAAGTATTATTAATGCGTTGTGGTCTCTGCTATCATAAGAGGTGACGAAATTGCAACAAAATAACGAAATCTCCACCTTCTATGAATGAACCTCCTGTCGTGACTTTAAGATCGCACTAGTAATTATTAAGCCGAAGTCTCGTGTTTCGTTCTTTGTCGTCGACACGACTATGAATTGCTCTTTTTTTTTCTGAACATGACCATGCTGTTATAGAGAACAATTCCCCCCCCCCCCCGGCGATTGTAATGAGGATTTTTCTTAAATGTGCTGCGCTGGTGAAGTTGTTGTTGTCGCTGTAGATAATCAGCTTGGTAAAATGTATATGGGCGAACCACTCACGTATCGAAATGTCTATCATACGAAATGTTGATTTTATTTTTAGTGAATTGTATCTACTGCTGCGGCCAAATGATTTTTACCAAACGCTTCAGCGTGGTATTAAGAATTTGTTTTCAGGGTTGGGTGATACCAAGGTGGAAAATGGTTGCACATATGGGGGTAATTCCTGGAATTGCAATAGAGAGGGTGTCGCATGCGACTTATTTACCACTTCCGTGTCACTGAGAATGTTCTAGAACCGTACTGTGTCTGGGTGGAATATTCTGTTTGTTTTTTTAGAAACTGGTTGAATAGGTAATAGAACACTGTAGGAGGCAATAGAAGGTAATGGAACATTCTAGAAATTTATAGTAAATTCCAGACTCATTATGTATGCTGATGTAATGGTCTATTTATAGACAGTGTGGGTATATATAGGGGAGTTGTTCAGCACTGAGTTCAGATCGGAGATCTCGTTGAATTGTATTGGAGTTTAAGTATCTAGTTATTGGAGTAGTGGAGTTTTACTGTGTTATTGTACTTGATGTTTGCAGAGTATAATAATACCAGTACCAGTTGAAACCTCATCTGTTGGCTCCGTGTTCGTATTTTATCATCGCCGCCAGGGAAGTCTTTTTGTTACTGTTGCCATTTTGGTATTTGAACCATCACACCTGTACTATACCAATTACGGTAATATTACGTTGCGTGTGACAGAGGGTTCAGGCCAAAATACAATATATAGTGTTTTCATGTTTCGTCTGATATTCCTGTGGTATTCTGCTGCTGTAACTAATGCAAGATTTGTTCTGAAACTCAGTGTATTGTGTGCACTCAAGGGTTATTCGTTTTTTGCTGAAAAGACCCCTATTTTTTAATGGCAGATTCGACCTACGTTCACTCCCACTGGGAAATATGCATTGTCGCTTGAATCATTATGAGAGCCAATTAAACACATTTTCCAGACCGGCGAAAGAGTATGTAATTTTGTAACATAAAATTGTAACAGTCTATTACGTGATTTTACTCAGAATGTCAACACGGAAAGAGGCTATTT